TACATGTAAAATGCGAGAATGATTTTTATAATGACGTTGGGCTAGCTCATGTGTTGAATACAATGCTCGCGACACGTTCTTATAGACGGACCTATTTTGACGGCTGCACGACTACACGACTTCAGGCCGATAGTTGTCGTTCTCGCTAACTTCAATTTAATCCTATATTTGCCAACGACAGTAGGACGATAGTAGAGTTGACAGTAGAATGGAAGATAGAGAGATGAGGTAGAGTGGTGATGCCGCTAACATGTAAAATGTAGAATTACTCAAAGCTCTAACAAACCTGACGTTATTTTACAAATAATAACATAAAATAGCTCTGTTACATCATTCTATTACTAATTTTTACTTATTACTATTTACTTATTTTTTGCATAAAAAATTTCACTTTGAACAAAGTAATAAAATTTCATTGAAGTGCAAGGTGTTAGTATGGCCACAACGAAATTGTGTACATGCAAAATGGACAACTGCGTTGTTTTGTGTACATGCCGGCCATTGYTATGTTGCTGCCCTCTCACAAACGTTCDTGTAGTAGGATTCACAACGCCATTTTCAGTTCACTGTCGTGCTGCTGCAGTCTGTCGCGAGCACTGTGTTCCGCACATCACTCTACGTTTCTGTTAATATAAATATGTGTGAACTGATTGATTTGTTTTGTCTAAAGCTTGATTGCTGTGAAAACACTCAGTGGCCGCGATAATTTACATTTTATCAGCAGCAACAGGAAAAGCAACATCCTCGACTCAGACGAGACCGCCTGAAATACATACATATTTTCATAGGCACCAATGTATGATGTGGGGAAATATTGTTTGTTTTTCATGTGCATATACGAATATGTATGCGTGGTTTTACGAGTATGTGTATGTGTAAGCATGCTCAGTCTATGCAGCTTAGAAATACAACAGCTGTCACGTTTTACACATGTTTACAATTCGGCACGTTTGTAAGTGTATGTATAATGAAATAGCACGTTGTGGTTGCCCAAATTCTACAGATACCAAATACTAATACGAGCACTAAAGGTAATTAAAGGTTTCCATATTGGCAATGTGTTATGAGTCTTCACACAATTGAAGCGGGAGACTAAAAGTAACATGGCGGCATTAAATGAGTTTCAAAAATTTGATGTGAACTATTTTGGGCAAGTTCAAGACTTCAAATTAACCAGTCAATAGAAATACGCGATAAGCACTTTTATACTATCGTGCTCCCCCTGAATTCGAATGCCAATTTAAGCGTTTAAAATGAGACGTGACATGAAATAAATATTTGTCATATAAATTCTTATATATAATATTACATTTAAATTGTATATTGGATGAAGAGATGGGAAGGAGACATATGTATGAATCTTCAGAAAGACCCTTGAAATATTCGAATTTAAGGTATTTATATTAAAAGTTTACCCTAAAAAAGACTATTTTCATATTTGATAATAAGAGGTCACGTTGTTTATTTTATTTGTTTTTAACTCTTGCAATTCTGTCTTTTAACGAAATGCCAAACACTTTTTGCAACTTATTTGTAACAATAATAATATTCACTGTTATTTCTCTCGTTATGAAAGTCTCCGTTTTCTCAATGCCTGGTTATTAACCATCTGCCAGTTAAGCTATGGATTAACTTTACCGAAGGAAGGAGTCTGGAAACTGAGACAACGATCTTAATCTTTCTTAGCCACTTAAGAAAGTCAATCGAACATTATTTCACAGAATCAAAGAGATCGCACCATCGGCTATTTGCTTAAGGCAGACGAGTTTAAATAATTACTCCATTTGGCTATGACTTTCATTAAGATGTTTAATGCAACAACAGCGTATGTCAGTTTAGGAAACGACTGTGGTTTATTGTCAACAGACCGTTTACCTAATGCTTTTTACCAATAGAGTTGCGAGTACACATAAAATAAATAAAAGCAATAAAGACATGAAGTTTTATGCAAACACGGCACGTACGCACAGAGTACTTACTTATTATAGGTATTAATACCTATGACTGTGTATGTGCACTATACGCTTTATATCTGCATAGTATATAATTTTCCCATTTCTGTTTTATTAGTTTGTTTATATTTTTGCTTGTGACCTTAAACGCCGACCAAATAGTGCCGTATTTGATGGACTCAAAACTGTCATAAGTTTTACAATTCACGTTCATTTTTGCGCCAAAGCGTAGACTATATATTTTTTTATTGCCTAACACAAATATAGAAACCAGCAAATGTACTCAAGTCATAGTTCTTCTTCAAAGGGAGAGGCAGTAACAACAATGTGAAATAAGAGGCGATATTTGGCGCGCTTAATAAGTTGGCCGGCACCCACCTGTGTCCCAATGTGCATGTGTGCGGGTGTACCCGTCTACGTACGTGCATAAAAAGTGTGTGTGTGCAAGTGGGTAACTATATTCGTTCGTCTCAAATTGTACGAATATGCTAATTTTCGTCGAGTCAGTAACATAGTTCAGCAGTGAAGTTTGTCTCGCCGCAGTCAAAACGTTCAGGCGTGTAAGCCGTTAAACGCTAATTCAAAACTTGTCGCGTTCACGCTGTTTAGGAATATGAAAAGTATTTTTTAATTTGATAGTTTATATTACTTGTGTTTTTCTATTTCTCGCTTACAAGTAAATAATGCTGCATATATTTGCAACGTGCTCGAGTGAATGCTCATATGTATGAACATATGAAGCATGTGAATTCTTTAATGCATTTCCACACATGCATATTATTACCGTCTGTCGGCTGCTTGGTAATATTAACAGGCTAAAGTAGGTTGAAGTCGTAAAGTTTCTAATTTATTAATAATAATGCCTTCTATTCTATTTTATACAGTTTATCGGTTTTGTGATTGAACCCACTGCTTTTAGGACACGACGCTTGCTAATATTTAGAGTACAGAACGGCAATGTTGTGGATATTGTTTCAACACCGTCAGTTACTGCTGATTCTTTGCATTTTTTTATTTATTTTCCACTTGTAAAACCTTCCTTCCTCTAACTGAAGTTTAGCAATACCTATCTCTTTTTTAGTCCTAATAATATCCAATAAATCTATTTTTTGTAATATTAGTTTGATAGTAATGATTGCTTTTAGGAATGTCTTCGATTGTCTGTTAAAATGTAAAAACAATTGAATCTTAACTCTGACGAGATTAGAACAGTGTGAGGCAAAGTGGTTTTATTTGTCTTACCTAAAATTTTCTCAGATAAAATTGCTCATACGCCATGTTAGCTGAAAATTCGCTGCTTTAAATACACGATGTTGAAACTTTATGTACAAATCACAGACTTAGATTTGAGATTAGATGTGGAAATATATTGTTTGTTGCAAAGAGCAGCTCATTAGCATTTAAGTGAGCAATGAATATTAAACAGTCTAAACTATAATTAATTATGAACCCATTGTGAACAGTAGCGAAAACAGCGAGTGTGAAGCGCTGGTGGTAGAAATTATGTGTTCTTCAGTGTGTTTGCCACCCAGTTTCGTTGACATATTCAATTCATGCTAAATATTAGTAAACAAATGCTGCTTAAAAAAGTTTTAGCGCTTAAGTATAGTCATAAGCTTTATGTAAATGATGATGAAGACATATGCTGATCTAAAACATTGAACAAATAAAGATACCGATCAAAACCAATTTTATATACTTTTATGCTGTCAGAAATGCGCTTGAGGAGAGCTTCAGTGTAGCCGAATTAACCAGTTTTTTGGTTACTTCTTGTGCATAGATAATGTTTCTCAAATGTTGTTGCTGGTATAGGAATCCAGGATATGGTACTTGAGCTTAAGTGAGTGAGAATGGATGATACAAATATTTGTCAATGGAAAAATAATGATTTTTTTCATTTGGCATTTTACTCAAAATTATAATAATTATTAGGTTTGTTTCTTAACTCCCGGTAGCTGCTAGCTATCTATCAGAAAGAAGTTGATTGCCAGTTATTCTCAATAAGAGCGAAAAAACGAAAGAGCAAAGAAACTAGAAGGAAAATATCAATTGTCGTTTTTCTCAATTACTCAGTTTCAACATTTGAAAAATAATCAACAGAATTTTTATTTTCACATTTCAAAACAATGAAAATACACAAAATCAAAGCGAATGCGTCCAATATCGCTGTATACACATGTGTTTTAACATTTGTTTTTTCATGTGGCAATATACATATGTATATTTTCTGCTAGCAGAAACTAGCAGCTTTCTGAGCTTTTTACGTTCTCAAGTGGTGCTCTCTTTTGCGGATATTTTGGGTTAAGAACGCTTTTCCAGCACAAACTTGACTAAAAACTGATATTTAGCATTTAAGAAACAAACTTATTATTTTTGTTTTGTTTTGAACAAATGCTTATGTTTTCAAATACATTTTGTATATACTCTATTCTAGATATAAAAAAAAATCAAATACATACATAAGTATTTGGCTCTTTTTGAGAGAACACGATGCATATTTCACATCGATGATTGGTTTTACTTGGCTTCTCAGTCTCAGACAACAAGTGTATATCGTCACCTGAAATGCAAAATAATGTATCATCAAAAATTCGAAACTGCGTGTCTTATTGATTACGCTTCACTACTTCAAATTACCTTTATAATATTACATATGTTGAACATTTTCAGATTCTACGGTCCGATATAAACCAGTTTTAACCAATATTGTTTCATTCATGCCACTGTAAATTTCCGAAAATATTGTTACGTTATTTTGTATTTCAAATGACGATATATAAGATTATACTCGAATAGCAATACAAATATTAGTCATAAAATCTTTAATACTGACCACCGTGCAAAGGATGCGTATATCCATGTTTCAAATGAAAGAAAGATCATCTAAAATTTTTAATTTATTCTTGAAAACTTATTAATATAATTTTTTTCAAGTAAAAATATTTAAAAAGAAAGATGTGTGTATTTTATACTTTTGATTATTTCTTTACTTAATTCCTTATTTTTAGTAAATATTATTGAATAATCATTTTATGTTTACGATTTCAGTGTTCCAATCAAGATTACAATATGGAAGATTTGGAGTTGGATCAGGTCACGCAGGTGATTAATTATCATCCGCGTTTCCTCGATCATTTTCTACGAACACAAAACTTCATTATGGACGGCGATGGGCCACTGCCATATGATTACCGTTATTATCTGGCCATAATTGTAAGTAGTACCAACCTATGTTTATAGATGTTGTTCATATATATAGCTTAATTGTTAATGAACAATAATATGCAAATGAAATCGTTTTCTCTACTCCACACTATACACTTAGATTCACCAAATTGTCATTCCTTAAAATCTCTTTTCGGTTTTATGGTGTCGATTGCATTTGTTGAATGCACAGAAAACTCGTTTTAAGAAGCAATGAAATATTTCTGTGAAGTTGGGTAGTTTGAATTTTCATTTAATATTATTTTCAAGGTCCAAGTCTAGATAATACAATACTAGATATACATATATGTTTACATATGTAAAAAAGCAGTTACCGATGTAAGTTGCTTCCCTGAGAAAATTTTGTCTATCTGACCATGTATCTCCAGATCAAAAATGAAATGATAAAACAATAATACACAATATTTGCGGCCATTTTCCTGATTGAGTGTTCTACTTTACTGGATAGTATATGTATATGATGCATACATATGCATGTACATATGTATGTCTGTCTATGAGATGTTACTGAAATAAAAATAGTATTGTATTACGATTTCAATGCATTTTGAGTAGATCAACTGGCGTAAATCAGATGCCGTCTATATAATATAAGGACAACATCATTTGCATACAACAAAGACAATAACATTGAATAACAATAAGCAAATAATATAATTTGCATTGCAAATTTGTTGGCGAGGAATTTCAAGCAAAATAATAATAGTAGCAGTAATAATGATACTAAACGCAATAAATAATTATGAATTTCTAATAGAAAAATAAAAAGTAAATTGATCCATAAATATGATCATTGTTTACGGATGAAGTGTGCCCGTAATTGGGGTTTTCTTTAGCCACAAGTTTAGTATGTGCATATATATGTAGTATTTGTTTAGACATATGAATCAAAATTAATGTAATGCGTTCATAATATAATTAGGCTCTTACCTTGCAATCGGTATAATCGAATGTTATCAAATATTTTATCCAAAATTATATTGAACGTCAGCTATTGAAGGCAAAAACTAGCGTCTATCGATATTCGTATCATACTATATTTCTCCTTCTCACTTTTATCTTCTTATACTCCAAACAGTTTCTGAGAAACATAAGACGTTTAAATGATAGCCAATATAACACAAGACACTAATCAAAAAGATTACACCATATATAGAGGTTGTACGAGTATTATTTGCAACTTTTTGAAAAAATGGAGGCGAATCCGACGTCTAATATGTTTATTGTACATAACTATCTCATAAACTACGAAAGCCAGTCCAATCGAATTTGCTGCTGACCTTGTATTTTACCATTTTATGCTTTGTGTGACAATTCTCACAGTGAACGTAGCTACGATGGTGACTGTCTGGAGAATATCGTCGAAATCAAAACTTAGAATGATACTGCTTTTCTAAACAAATATAGCCGATAAAGACCCAAATTGGCTCATAACATTTCCATGAAGGTATGCATCAGTACGGATACTTTCAATAGAATACTTTACACCAGAAACTCGGAGCTTTAATGGAAATGACGAAACAAATGGAGACAGAAACAAATATTTTTACGCTTTTTGGGGTTTAGCAACATAGAAGCAATCCCTGCAACAAACTGCTGATGGGTTCACCAATACGCTTACACGTGTCAATTTCTTATGCCAGTCGTAACTAGCGGTGCGGTTATGAATGAGGACAAGACGAAATACACAGATGGACAAAAGTATTCGCCACTGCACTGAAAGTTGCAGCTTTAATAGCTTTTCAGTTATAATGGTCAATTTTCAGTTTGAATTTGTGATCAAAAATAGCTCAGAAAAAGACATAAGAGTGAACAGTATAGATACTATATATAGTGAATCAAGTCTGAATACCCATGTGTTAAAGAGAGCTGTAAACTCACACACATATGTATGTACATTTGTTTACAACAATTTTTGCACAAGGCCCTTAAGAAAATGATAGAAACTTTTTTCTCAGCTGTGACTGTCAAATTACTGGTCAGATGATTCATTGACGTTGTTCAAATGCAAACAAAAAAAAATGGCTGCTTTCTACGGGCTCAACTTTTGACACATTTTGCATTCTACGGTCGGCAACTGAGGAAGGTAGGAGCGAAGATCGAAGTAGCAAAGGGCACATATTTGCAAACAATTTTGAAAAAGTAGGCATGGTCCACTAACAAGTTTAATGTAGATACCTCGTAAACCATTTAAGCACTCACCTCCCTTATAACGATACTGTACTTAGAGGATGATAAATCAATAGACGTATTTATTTAGATACATTAAATGTTACTGTGAGATGTACGGTATCATAATATCTGCTCATTTTTATACCCTGAACAGGAAGCATTAAGTTTGCCATGATGTTTGTAACACCCCAAAGGATATGTCATAAATTATATTCATACATTTATATATATATAAATAATCAGTATGACAACTTGAGTTCCTCAGTTTTTTAGATATTCATCTGAAATTTTGCACATGTTTTATCCTCCCGCGAAGCTGTTCACATTGGACCACTTTATCATATAGCAGATATACAAAGTGAACGATCAAAATCAAGTTCTTGTATGGAAATGTTTTTGTTTTTGTTTTACAAGACATCTTCACGAAACTTGCCACAGATTAAATTCAAATATACCATCTTGTACAGTTCGGACCACTTTACCATATAGCTGCTATACAAACTGACTAAAACCATACATATTAAACTCTTGACAAAAAAACATAAGATCATGTATGTATAGTATCTCATTTAGTCTAAAATTTCTGAATTTTTATCACTTCTGTAAATGCGCCTTTTAGCTCTATGTTACCTCTCTACATGTATATATTAATACAGAAATGAAAATTCTGTGGTTTGCGTAGGTAATGCGCACCTACACAAATCGGAATAGTACATAATTGTGCATAGCCTTAAAATACTTAATGATGTGGCTGATCTTGAGCTAGACCGCTTCATTCATCAACGTGACAATAATTATATGTATATGTAATTGAGTTGTGGCATGTGGTTGCACATTTAAATGATTTATCAACAACAAGTGAGTGTTTCTATCGTATCTGCAATTAATTGAGGCGAAATAAATACATTTATTGATATTACTGATGTAAATACGCATGTATGTACATACATACATATGTACATAGTTGCATTCACTAGACCAGCGGTGCGATTGCTGCTGCAAAGATAAATACATATATCGCAGCAATATCACTTACCCAGTGCTTGCGCCGACTCCACTGCGAAGTAACGTAGTAACAAAAACACAATAACTACTTCACTCTCGGAAAAAGTCGTGTTTCATACTAGTTTAAAAATTAGTCAACCATGTTTTGCTTTTGGAAAAATACTGCGCCGATGCTTAACTACATATGCTCTTAAAACAAAAAAAAAAAAAACTAGTATGAATATGTGGTGTTTATGACAACTTTGACTTTTGCCAGGATATGCCAGTCGCAAGTTATTTTACTACGTGGTTGTAGTAAGTTTACTTATCTGAAAATAAATATGTACATACATACATAGCCATTCGCACCCTGATTTTGCTTCGAATATTGTAATACTGAAGTTGAGTTGCGCTAACAAGTTGTTGTGCGCTATCCCCCGCTGTTTTTAAAACGAGCACGATTGTTATCACTTAAGTTTACTGTAACTACTTACAGACATACATATGTACATACACTGTTTTATGGTTTTATAATCGCTTTGTTCACCTAACGGCTGTACGTACTACGTATCAGCTAAATCTAAGCGAAATAGATATATAGTATATGTATACATATATGTACGTACAAATAAAAAAATACAATTTCGTAAATGGGCATAATCGGACCACGCCCACAAAACATCATTTAATATATACATATGTATGTATATAAATGAATATACATAACTCGAACTTTCATAAATAGAAGTCAAATTTCTTAAAATTTTCCTTCCATAACTCGTAGTTTCTTTTTTCGTTTATAATGGTGATTCGGGTTAAGGAAGCCTAACATGTGTAAGCTCAATATTTATAATTGCTTGGCGATCAATCCTCTGGCTAACGAATACCTTATTTCCCTGGCTTTCATTTTTTGCAAGTTGAATGGGTATAAAATGTTCGGTTGTACCCGACATTAACTCTTTCTTACTTGTTTTTGTATTTCTTTTATTGCTTTTTCATTTGAGTTATTTTATTGGCTACAATTACTTTACACAGCTGGAAACTGCAGCGGCCTCCATCACAACAAAGTCCGAGTCAGTAAATCAAGCGGACAAGCAAACAGCGAACAATAACAACATCGTCAATTGGCTTAGAGGTCGTTCACTGTTAAGTTCGCCTACCATACTGAACTAGTTGTAGTTTTTATAGTTTACTTCTGTGCACACAAATTCGTAAACATCAAAATTAGTAAGGTAATTTTATGTGGCTTAAAGGTGCATACATATACACATAATAGTGGCAAAGTGCCAAAATGGCAATTTAAACAATATTGCAATAAGTCAGTTGTTTTTCATTTATCCGTGATCGTTTTTTAACAGAAACTCCATTTTCAAATTTTTCATGCCGTCAAACTAAACTAAAAGCTTCTGTCAGCCCTAAATGCTAATTAAGACAAATGACTAGGTTTTAACGGGCTAGTGGAACTTCTTTTCATAGGATACTTCACAGTTTTTTTTAGTTAGGTTATATAAATAGGCCTAAGTACGGACCAAAATGACCATCCTACATATACAAAGCGTCCAGAGCCAGCCACTGATTTCTTGATCTGGCCACTACTCCAGCCAATTCGCTGGGATCGTAGAGAGTATGGCAACCTAGATGCTTTAACTTAGTTAGACAGCGAAGAACAAAGTGTCTCGATATTACGTCCTTCACAATCTTTAGCCTTACCGCGTGAGTGCCAATAGGACAATGTCCAGTTAGGACACCTATCATAATGGTCATGTGAATCTTGCTAAGGGCTAGTTATCCAAGATCCTTGGATTTACAGTTTCCCAGCCAACTTTAATATG